GGGGGGGGAGGAGCTGGAGCGGCTCCGGTTGGACCCCGAGGCCTTTTGTGCCTGGAGCAGCCCCGGCACGGCCACGGTGAGCGTGACCTCTGACCCCTGACCCCTCACCCCTCACCCCTGACCCCCAGGCTGACCCCTGACCCACCCCGACCCCCCAGGGGGGCCTTGTGTACGGGCACTACGGGAGACCCCAGGACCTGGCCCAGCTCCGCAAACGGGGGGTGTCGGCCCGGGGGCACATCCTGATCCTGCGCCTGGGGAGGGGGACCCCCAATCAACAGGTGAGAGACCCCAAAAACACACCTGGGGGACCCCAAATCAACAGGGGAGAGAGACCCCAAAATACCCCAAATCAACAGGGGAGAGAGACCCCAAAATACCCCAAAATACCCCAAATCAACAGGTGAGAGAGACCCCAAATACCCCAAATAAATACCTGGGGAGGGAAATGGGACCCCAAACCAGCAGGTGAGACCCCAAAACGCACCTGGGGAGACCCAAAATACACACCTAGGGAGGGGGACCCCGAATGAACAGGTGAGACCCCAAAATACCCCCAAATACCCCAAATCAACAGGGGAGAGAGACCCCAAAAACTCCAAATAAATACCTGGGGACGGGGACCCCCAATGAACAGGTGAGACCCCAAAATACCCCCAAATACCCCAAATCAACAGGTGAGAGAGACCCCAAATACCCCAAATAAATACCTGGGGAGGGGGACCCCGAATCAACAGGTGAGATCCCAAAACACCCCAAAATACCCCAAAATAAATACCTGGGGAGGGGGACTCCGAATGAACAGGTGAGAGACCCCAAATACCCCAAATAAATACCTGGGGAGGGGGACCCCAAATGAACAGGTGAGACCCCAAATCAGCAGGTGAGAGAGACCCCAAAATACCCCAAAATACCCCAAAATAAATACCTGGGGAGGGGGACCCCAAATATCAGCAGGTGAGACCCCAAACACCCGGGGCGAAAGGAAATGAGACCCCAAACCCTGTGGGGTCGAACCCCAACACCCCCGGGTGGGTTTTTGGGGGTCCCGGGGGCGGATTTTTGGGGTTTGTCCCCCCAAGACTCCCCATTTTTGCCCCCCCAGGTGGCGGCGGCAGCGGGGGCAGGGGCCGTGGGGGTCCTGCTCTTCCCCGACCCCCAAAACGCGGCCGGGATCGGGGGGGGCCCCGCCCTGGGGGGGGACACGACCCCCACCCTGCACGTGAGTCATGGGGG